ACACTTTTCACGATTTGTAAACAAGGTCTACCTATAACGTCCCACCCGATAATTATGTCAATGCCTTTAGGGATGGAACCATCTGGTACAATATAATAATTAATCTCTAAAGTTACAGCTGGTATAAGCGTAATGACGTCACACACACCTATAGCGTACACAAGTCGTGTCCCCAATCCCGAAAAGCTCGCACTTTTTCAATTGGTTTGATCGTATTGTTTATTGTTTTTACTGCCGAATATTTTATAATTGATACGTCGGGGTCTTGGAACTATTCGGCCTATCCTGTTCTACTTCTTTAGATGTTCTGCTTCGGCATTCGTGTTGCAGATTTCCGTGACGGCCACATTTAAAACATGAACGTTTTAACATTTTGTTGGGCCTACCGCTATCTGACCCGCGTCTGTCAACGTCTGTCTCTCTCTTGTGCGCTCCATCACGCCCTGAGATCCACGACCCTTTTGGTGGCCGGCGTGCGTCAAACTCACTTAATCTTAACACAAGCTCACGTTCAGAGTCCGGCTTCTGTATGTGCAGCGATGCACGTGCTTCAGCATGGTCCAATCCGTACTCAACCATACTTAGAACCTTATTCCACGGTAATTTATCGTAGAATCGCTGTATGCTGCGAAGCTTTTGGTGTCCATAATCACACAAAGAGTCGCACTCTCTACTTCGTAGTGTCGAAGCTTTAAACGCTCGGGCACCTGGTGTCTCTTTGTCGGGAAAAGCAGTGATAAGGTCGGCACAAAAGTTTTCCCAGGATCGCCGTAAAGGTCTCCAGTTACAGCAGTACCGATAACCGCGATTCTTCAGCGCATCGCTCGCCTTCGCAATCATTAAATTATCGCTGACATCCTGTTCCTCCTTCAGTTTTGTTGCGTCCTCCAACCATTCGTTGATTGCGTATGCACTGTTATCGGGGTCATAGCTGGTGAGCTTGAATTTTATGTTGCCCTGTCCCGATGTTGACACCTGCGTCCTTTGTTCTCCAGGTGAGATCAAACTTGGCGTGAGCATTCCTGACGCTTGCGCATTTGATCCGTCTTCTGTGACTAAACAGGGCGTTGGTTCTTCTGGCGCTTGCGCACTGGCTCCGTCTGTAGAGACAAAGCAGGGCGTTGGCACGGAGGACGCCGATGTCTGTAGTTTGGCGTATTTTAATAACTCCGCAATCTGTAGCTGTTGCGAAACTACCATGTTTTCTAACCTTTCTTGCCATTGTTCCTTGATGGGTCTGGAACTTGGCGAAGCAACACCATCGTCAGAATTCACCACTTCCGACACAATTGTGTTTACACTAATTTCATCCATTTCTGTAGGTCACTGCACAGATCACTATCCCACTTCTGATGTTATAAATAAATAACAATAATGTTATTTAAATAATTTAAACTAATTTATTTAGTACTATAAGTCTTTATTCAAAACTACTCTCACAATATCAACCGATCGTCAGGCACACTGCCGTTAAAACTAATGTGTCTACGTAGGTCCTCATTTGTTTATCTTCTCTTGCCCTTGGTATGCTCTTAAGTACCCTTTCGCTAACATATATTTAAATACCGTAAAATGGGGTGAATGGGAACACTTTTTGACATTTGATCAATCACAGCGGCCGTATAGTAATTTTTTTAAAGACCGTTTTGGGCCTAAAAGTCCTATGGGGTCCTGGGCTACCTATAACCAAAATTTGAAAATAATAGATTTTTCCAAAATATATATTTTTTATTTTAATGTGCTTTGTTCCTATTGCCCCGGTATCAGTCGATATAGGAACACCAATGTTATTTTCCCTTGTATGTCGATTTAACGCGTTAAAGGTGTAATAGGAACACAATATATTTTTTTTAAAAGCGGCGAAAAATTCATATAATGTGATTCAGACCTTGGGTGGGAAGAAAAAGACCAATATATAACTCAAAAATGTTTTCTTTTATTATTTATAAAACGTATAAAATATATAAAAATAAATAAAATACATATTCTAAAAATTTTGAGTTTATAAAATTATAGCTAAAAAGTTACAGAATAGACCCCTAAGACCTTTAAAAGTGTCTAAATTTCAAAATTTTCCCTGTTCCGATTCACCCAAATGCGGTTCAATTTTGCGCATTTTGAATTTAAAAAATTATTAGGAAAAAGTTTTTAACAATTTGACTTTTTTATATTTTAAATGAATAACTAAGACAACAATCACGAAAGTTTCAGCTTATTTCACTTACCCCTTTTACGTTTTCCAGATGAAGCTTTTCGGAGCACCCATACGATAACAAAACTTGCTCACAATTTGAGTTTAGCCCATAATGACAGCTAGACTGTTACCATTTTTTCAATGCTACCAACTAGCAAACACAACATTCCTGTACATGAAAACCCACAAAAGTTTTTGATTTGTCAATTTAAATTAACGTAAGAAATGTTTGAAAACTTTTTCCCACTTTTGTCCCGATTTCCCCTTTAGTTCCCATTCACCCCATTTTACGGTATATAAATATTTTTAATTGTTTTTTTGTAAATATCTTAAATATCCTTTACCCAACTTTGTTGTAATTTGAGTTTTAATATTTTTTTCGGATTAAGCAACTAAAAATACAACTCTTTTGTCTCTTAAACTGTATGCCAAACTGATATTTTTAATATATTTAATTTAAAATATTTACTTTTTTTAATTGCTTTTTGTTGTTAAACACATTTTTTAATTCGCTTGATTAAAAATATTATGGGATAAGTTTTTAAATGCATTTCAAATATCATAGGAGATATTTTTAATTTATTTTAATTGAAAATTTCACTTTAGTTTAGGATACGATTGCGAAAAACCAAAAAAAAAAATTAAATTATTCTGATTGGAAAACTTGATTCATTCGCTTTAAAACAATATAAATTTATTAATGGATGGACATTATAATCGAAAATATATTTTCGATATTTTTCACCTAGGGCATGCCTGGAGCCGCCTCTGTCTTTGAAAAATAGGAAAATCCGTCTTGTTTGTTTTACGTATTTCTTAAAGCTATATGGCAACACAGTTAATCCAAGAATGACTTAACAGACTTTAAATTAAGTTTATAGAATTAAAGGATAAAACGTTTCTCTAAGATCTCTTTATTATTGTTTATGTAGGCATTAACGAACACCCTGTATATTTATTTATTTAACTGTTTACAATGACATTTATTTGTTTATGTGGTCTGGGAGCGTCCCCAGACAAACATTTAATAAGATGACAAGTGCAGATAGAATGATAATTAAATAAAAATGAATCAGTTGTTTTTAACGAACCAACGGATATGAAATTAAATGTGTTTTTTTCGAGAGAGGAAACGGTGTGTACAGTTATTTCAGCACCTGGCCTTTGAATTTGTGGTTGCATTGTCTTTTTTTTGTTATGAAATCATGGCTTTCATAAATTTAGTTTATAACAACGTATTTAATTATTATAATACAAATAAAATAATATGCAGGACATGCAAAGATATAACTTCTGACCGATAGATGGAAAGCGTGTAAATGCAAGTTAAAGTAAGGTATTGTCAGTTGCCTACATTAAGACAATAATTTTTATATGAGGACCCTGGAAGCCAGGGGATACAAGTGACATTTAAAAAATGTAATTATGTACAGAAAAAGATAGTAAATGAAACATTTTACTTGGTATTCAAGGAATATAACTGAATTCTAAGCGTAGACATCTTAAAAAAAAACAAAGTAATAAAAGAAAAAACAATTTTAACTCCAAATTAAAGTGTTTTTTTACTTTAAAACATGATTATCTCAAAACTAAATAAAATGTACTTATACCCCTTGGCTTTTAGGGTCCTCATATAATATCTGCATTGTTACTGTCAAGGATACATAAACAAATATTTGTATTATTTACTTAGATTATTTATCTAAATAAACCGAAACCATTTGACAGTTTTCATATAGGACCGCAAACATTCACTCGACACCTCATTTATTAAATATGCTAGATAATCAATAAAAACAAATTAATGTATTTCTTTAACCTAATAATAAATGTTGTTCTTAGCAGGTAATTACCAAGTTGAAGCATTAAAAACAAATGCTTATCGTATTACGAAGTAGTACTTTGATATGTACCGTTTACACTTTGCTACAACATAAATTTCATTTCACGCGAAACAGTCGAGCATCAATCATCATGTTAAGGATAGCTTTTCATTTGTTTTTAGTGACGCAATACATTTTCGCCCAATGGTACGACCTGACTTATTTGGACGTTTTAAATGACAAAGGGAGGAGTTTTGTGCCCTTAAAAGGGCGACTTAAATTTTTGACTATATGGAATATGGTAAGTGAAAAGACATGACAAAATCTTGTTATGATTTTTTAATGTTTTCTTTATAAATACGTAAATATTTGTGTATTATACAAAATATGGATTGGGTAGATGATTGTTTACTCAGTTTATAGCTAAATAAATATCAACTTATCAGTTTAGGGAACCGTATTATCTTAAAAAACAATATTTCACAATTTTTAGCGGCTAATGTATAAATGGTTGCATATCGATTTTCCCTAAAGAGCGTAAATATTTTACATCTGGCAACATGCCTTTAAATCTACCAACTTTTACAACACAATGTGGAGGAAATTGCAGTTTAAAATTAATTGTCACAAAAACTACTAAAAAGGTATTATTTATGTTTTTAATGAAAAAAATATTTTCGATCAACCCTCGTAAATTCACATAACACAGCTCTTGCATTGCACCGACTCGATGTTGCCATATCGTTGCATCTTAACATCACAACGTTGCACCGTTGATTTATCTTATACAATTTTCTATTAGTAGATTAATCAAACGTGCTTAGTCATTGTTCAAAGCGAAAAAACAAATGAGTCGGTGAATTTAACGCGAACAAATCAATAATATTAACGGTAATGTCACCTAACCTAATTTGGGAACGTCAAATATTTGGTTGTCAGCTTTCAGTTGTTTTGTGAATAATAATAATAACAAAAACTCAAAAATGGGTGTTAAAACTGTTTTCCACTTATTCGCCGCTCTACATTTCTGGTTGGGATGCTATTACGACTGGAATTATGTTAAAGTGCCCAGGGATGTTCACAATATGGGAGAGTCTTTTGGATTTAGCGGCAAATTAAAATTTTTGACATTTTGGGATGCAGTAAGTTCATTTGTTTTGTTTAATTGAACACAGTGGGCGTTATACGAGGGTACTTGATTATTACGTCTAGTGGACGTCGTCCACAATCCATTGTGTGGATTATTGAGTAAGATCTTACTCAGTGGTGTGGATTGTGATTACGTCGATATTACATTGAGGTTATGTCGATTAAAACAAAAAATAAGAGTTTAATTTTTTGAAATGGTCCGATTATAACTTCTTTACTTTAATTAATTAACCTAAGCTGTGTTCTGTTAACCCACAATCAACAAAGCTTTCATTTTTTTAAATAAATTTAACAACCTTGAAAGTATTGCGATAAGTTAAAAATAAAATAATTGGAAATACATTATTTATTGGATGATTCATGTGGGTAATTAAAGTAATTAAAATTTTCTGCATTTGCAATTTTTTTAGTTATGCAACTTAAGGTTTCTTTGCAAATTATAATTAACAATCAGTGGGGTTGGGACATGCAATTTTTTATTGCATATTTGGAATCTATGAACTGTTGAAGAATTTGGAGTTTTTATTCCACATCCGCATCCGCAAAAAATACTGTTGACATCGATCTCGGCAAATAAAATATTTTAAAAATATTTTTATTCTGCAATTAACATTAACATTCCTGCAAAACAATGAATTAAATTTTTCAAAAATTACGCGGTTACGGAGCTAGACATTGTAGTAGTGCACAAAGAATATTTGTTAATTTAAAAATTTGTATATTTTCCACCATAATATATTATAATATTATATCTTCTAAACGATTTTATTGGCACAAGTGATGTTGCCCCTAAGAAAACTCCAATAATAGAAAAATTAAAGATTTTGTAATATTTTTACAAATTATTCAAAATTTCGTAAATATGTTTAAATTTTCGAAATTTACAAAAATTTTGAAATCCCAGAGGTGTAAATAAATCTATCAGGTCAAAAATATTCAAAAATTTAAAATTTGTTAAAATTTTCAAAGTTTCCTACTGTTTTGAAAATTTCAGATATTGGAATAAATTAATCAAATTGAAAATACTCAAAATTTTCATATTTTTAATTTTTTTTTATAATAATATATAATTTTTTATACAATATATTATTTTCCAAATTTCAGAGATATGAAAATTATCAAAAATATTCAAAATTTCGAAAAATCTTGAACTTTTAAAAATTTCCAAAATCTTAATTTTTTAAAAATAGTGAACGTTTTTAAAATTTCAGACAAATCAATACCATAATCAAAAATATTCAAAATTTCTAAAATTTATGTTCACAAACTATTCAAAATTTTAATATTTTAAAGATGGGAATAAATTAACCAAATTAAAAATAATCCAAATTTTGAAAATATTTAAAGTTTTGGAATATTTTTTAAATATCTTCTTAATTTCTAAAATTATCCAAAATATTTTCAAATTTAAAATTTTAGAGATGGAAATAAATCAATAAAGTCACATATAATCAAAATTTTTAAAATTTCCGAGATGGGAATGGTATTAATACATTAATCAAATTAATGGTATTAATCAAATTAATGGTATTAATGGTATTAATCAAATTAATGGTATTAATACATTAATCAAATTAAAAACACTTCAAATATTGAAAATTTTTGAAATTTACAAAAAATTTAAAATTTTAGAGGTGGAAATAAATCAATCAAGTCAAAAATATTCAATTTTAATTTTAAAATTTTTAAAAAAATTCTATATTTTCAAAATTTTTAAAATTTTATAGGTGAAAGTAAATCAATCAAGTCAAAAATATTCAAAATTTCCAAATTTTTTTAAATATTTTCTTAATTTCTAAAACTTTCCTTACTTGAGAGATGGTACAAAATATTAAAAAGTTTTGAACTGAGGTGGAAATAAATTTCCTACTATTTTGAAAATTTCAAATATGGGAATAAATTAATCAAATTAAAAATACTCCAAATTTTCATTATTTTATATAATATATAATTTCTTATACAATATATAATTTTTCAAATTTCAGAGATATGAAAATTATCAAATATATTCAAAATTTCGAAAAATCTTGAACTTTTAAAAATTTCCAAAACCTTATTTTTTTTAAAATAGCGAACCTTTTTAAAATTTCAGACAAATCAATACTATAATAAAAATATTCAAAATTTCTAAAATTTATGTTTACAAACTATTCAAAATTTTAATATTTTAGAGATGGGAATAAATTAATCAAATTAAAAATACTCCAAATTTTGAAAATATTTAAAATTTTTGAATGTTTTAAATATCTTCTTAATTTCTAAAATTATCCAAAATATTTTCAAATTTAAAATTTTAGAGATGGTAATAAATCAATAGTCACAAATAATCAAAATTTTAAAATTTGTTAAAATTTTCGAAATTTTTAAAATTTCAGAGATGGGAATACATTAATCAAATTAAACTCATTTTTGAAATTTACAAAAAATTTTAGAGGTGGGAATAAATCAATCAAGTCAAAAATATTCAATTTTAATTTTAAAATTTAAAAAAAATTTCTATATTTTCAATTTTTTTTAAAATTCAAGTCAAAAATATTCAAAATTTCCAAATTTTTTTAAATATTTTCTTATTTTCTTAAATTTTCCAAACTTGAGAGATGATACAAAATATTAAAAAATGTTGAACGTTTCAAATCTTAAATTTTCAAAATTTCAGAAGTGGAAATAAATCAATCAAGTCACAAATAATCAAAATTTTAAAATTTGTTAAAGTTTTCGAAATTTTTAAAATTTCAGAGATACTTTAATCAAATTAAAAATCCTTCAAATATTAAAAATTTTCGAAATTTACAAAAATTTTAAAATATTAGAGTCTAAAAATAAAGAGATGGGAATAAATTAATCAAATTTTGAATATTTTCAAATTTTTTAAATATTTTCTCAATTTCTAAAATTTTCCAAATTTGAGAGATGGGACAAAATATTCAAAACTTTTCAAATCTTAAACTTTCAAAATTATTTGAAACTTCTAAAATTTGTTAAAATTTTCGAAATTTACAAAAATAATTAAAATCAGAGATGAATTAAATTTTTATATTTTTTAATAGTTGCTGCAAGGACTCTTTTTCACCATATGTCTTTTAAACGATTTGATTGGTACAAATGATGTTGCTCCTAAGAAAACTCCAATAATAAGAAAAATTAAGGACTTCGTAAGTATTTTTTTATAATTTAGGTATACGATTAAAATAGTTTTATTCATAACCTACATAATATTTAAATATTTTAAATAACAATCGTTTTAAATTGCTGTAATCAATCATAAATATTTATTATATTTCATAATATGATATATTATGTATTTATTTCCAAAATAAATGATAACAAAACAAAGCCAACATAACCTCATTTCAGCTGCTGCCGTGCCTGGCTCTGCCTGTAGCCCTCTTCGTGGCTATCACATTTTGGGGGCTCTACTTTATCGACCGCGAGCTGGTGTTTCCCCGGGCGCTCGACGCGTTCTTCCCCACCTGGTTAAACCACGTGATGCACACCAACATCGTCCTCTTCGCCGCGATCGAACTGGCAACGTCGTTCCGGAGGTACCCGAGCAGGAAGCTCGGCATCACTGTGGTGGCCACGTGGTGCCTCACGTACTTGTTGTGGGTGCACGTCATTAACTACCACACAGGCTTATGGGTGTATCCGATTTTGGAGGTACTACCGTGGTTCGGCAGAATTATTTTTTATGTTGGGTCATTGGTTTTGCAGATAAGTTTGTATTTGGCCGGTGAAAAGTTGAATAATGTCATTTGGAGGAAGCAACTTGCACAAAAACAAAGAAAATCAAAATAATTCTTAAATTTTTGTAGAAAGTGTCCTTCCTTGTACAATAGACAAAACATAGATGTCTCTATATGAACTACTGTTAGTAGCACACGCCGCTAGATGGCAGCAATAAAGTAAATAAAAGTAGTTCATATGCCTATGTATCTCTATATAAGGTAATTTTTTGTTATTTATTTTTATAGCCTACCAAAATTATTAAACCAAAATTGTTTAAATAAATTAAACCAGGTATTAAGTAAAATAATTTGTGTTATTTAAAAAAATACTTACACATTTAATTTACAACAAAGGATTAATTTTGGGGAAAAAAGACAGAAACCAGGAGTAAAAACCAACTAGGTATGTAGGTATTTAATAAAAATATAAGCACTTAATTACATCTAACAAAAATAAAGCTTGGTTCAAATTATCATTTTAAAATCCTTAATTTATAATTACAATTTTAATCATTTACTTAGCTTTGGCTAATCTTTCAGACACATCTTTCCAGTTGATAATATCAAAGATGGCTTTAACATAGTCAGCTCTGACGTTTTTGTATTGCAAATAGTAGGCATGTTCCCAGACATCAATTCCCAGTAATGGGACCAATCCTGTGGTAGCTTCCAAGGGGTCTTGATTTGGGCAAGCAGAAATCTTGATCAAACCTAAAAATAATGTTTTTAATTTTTGGGCTCGTTAAAAGGAAAATTTTAGTTGCGCGTGTATAAAGTAAAGATGGAAATAAATCTATCAAGTCAAAAATATTAAAATTTTTAAAATTATTAAAAATTTTGAAATTTACACAATTTTTAAAATTTCAGAAATGGGAATAAATTAATCAAATTAAAAATATTCAAAATTTTTAATTTTTAATTTTCCAAATTTCAGAGATTGGAAAAAAATATCAAAAACATTTCAAGAATTCTTGAACTTTAAATTTTTTTAAATATTCAACATTTTTAAAATTTCAAAGATGGAAATAAATGACTATAATCACTAATATTCAAAATTTCTAAAATTTATTTAAATTTTCAAAATTTGGGAAAATTTTAGAATTTTCAAAATTTGTTTAAAAGTTCAGAGATGGAAATAAATGAATATAATCAATCATATTCAAAATTTCTAAAATATACATATATATACATACTATATTTTCAAAATTTATTAAAATTTTAGAATTTTCAAAATTTTAGAGGTGGAAATAAATCAATCAATCAATTCGAAATTTACAAATTTTTAAAAAAATCTAGAAATTGTAATAAATAATTCAAATTAAAAAATACTCCAAATATTAAAAATTTTAGTGGAAATAAATCAATCAAGTAAAAAATATTCAAAATGTCGAAAATTTTTAGTTTGAGATATCACCCTCTCTGACATTTTAAAAATTTCCAAAAATTTGGAATTTTTTTAAATTTTGAGTATTTTTTCAAGTCAAAAATATTTATAATTTCGTATATTTTAAAATTTGTCAAAATTTCAGAGATATTGAAAATTGAAATATTAAAAATTTTCGAAAATTACAAAATTTAAAAATTTTAGAGGTGAAAATAAATCTATCAATTCAAAAATATTCAAAATCTCTAAAATTAAATTAATCAAATTAATTTTATTTAAAAATTCAAATTTTCGGAAATTAAAATCTTTCTAAAATTTTCCAAATTTGAGAGATGGGACAAAATATTCAAAATTTCGAAAAATGGTGGTCTCTCCAATTAAAAATTTCGATTTTTTTTTAAATATTTTGTTAATTTCTAAAATGTTCCAAATTTCAGAGATGGGAAAAAATCAATCAAATCAAAAATATTCAAAATTTCGAAAATTTGTAAAAAAAAATATATACAATTTTTACCTGATTTTTTGCAATAACCTAGCCAGCCCCAACCTGAACCTTGTATAGCCACAGTGGCAGTGGATAAATCTGTTTTCATCTTATCAAAACTTCCAAAAGACTTATCAATCAAGGCAGTTAAATCAGCACTGGGTTTGGTGGAACCTGGTGACAAATTTTGCCAGAAAATGGAATGGTTTAAATGCCCACCTCCATTAAATTTTAAGGCTGGAGCCAGGGAAATGATGGTACTAAAAATAATAGTAAATAATATATTATTGGAACACCCTGTGGACATAAAAACATCTATTTTACTTTGTCTATGGGTCATCAAGGATATCATTTGTTTTCCTTCCAAAGGTTCCTTGATAAACTCGCGACAAATCAACAAACATGGCCGATTTGCAACTTTTTATTACCTGACGTCGCTTTTTTCCACAGCCAACTTCAACTTGTCTTCGGCAGCGTTCAAATTGGTGACGTAAGTTTGGTGATGCTTGCTGTGGTGCAAATTCATTATGTCGCGGGAAATCACCGGTTCCAAAGCCGCATAATCGTACGGCAAATCGGGCAAAGTGTGCTTTGACCTCACATTTCTACAACAAAATGTACGACAGTCGTTTTTTACACTTTTTATTTACATCTTACCTCGCCACAGCTTGAGACAGTTGCCTGAGGGTGAACATTTTGCGTTTTAAGATCAAGAATATTTTTGCTATCGAGGTGGTTATGAAACTTTTTTTGACAGTACACCGGCTGGCTGTCAAATTATGTAAGCTGCTGGTGTAGTAGGAATCTGTAAGAGGTTTGGAGTGAAGGCGAGAGTTGGCGCTCTAGTGTGCATGTGTACTGTTGGTTGCATATATTTGGTAATTTTTAGTGTTGTGATTATTAAAATAAGTGGAAGAGTAAAAAATCAGTGAATATTTGAATTTTGTAAAGTTGTTAAAACGATATTTTTTAAAACAATTTGAATAAAAGTGTTTTTGACAATTTTGTTGAAATTTTTGACAGTTATTAAACGATTTTTTTAGTTAAAAACGTGCATTTGAATAGTTTTTGATAGAAACTTAAGTTTATATAAAATAATTATGCTCTGCTTTCAATAACAACCCTATTTAGACTATTATTTATGATCTTACAACAAATTAAATTGTATTTTGACAGTTTTATTAAAATTTTTGACAGTTTAAACCTTGCCACTAGATTTAAACAATTAGGTACCTACTATTTTTTGTTATTAAGCAATTGTCTAAATAACAAAAATCTAATTTTAAAACAATTTTAAAAATATTTTGATTGGATCGATTTTGTAGGGTTTTTTGACAGTTTTTTTTATGACATTAGAGTTTTGACAGTTTTAAACCTTGTTTTGAAAGAAATAAATTACTTGTAACGACAAATGCAATTTAAATGGTTTTTTATACCTATAATCTCTGTATTGTTGGTTGCATATATTTGGTAATTTTTATGGTTGTGATTTTTTTAAAAATAAGTGGACAGAAAATTAACAATAAAAAAATAAAAAAATCTGTGAATATTGAATTTTGTAAGGTGTTAATAGGATTTTTTTTAAACAATTTGAATAAATAGTAGATAATAATTTTAAAAGTGTTTTTGACATTACTGTTGCAATTTTGACAGAAATTTAAGTTTATATAATTAAATTATGCTCTCCAATGTCAATAACAACCCTATTTAGACTATTATTTCTGATCTTACGAAAATTTAAATTGGAAGTATTTTGACAGTATTATTCAAATTTTTGACAGTTTTAAACCTTGCCAATAGATTTAATCCATTATTAAGTTAAAAACATTTATTTCAACAATTTTGACAGAAAAAAAATGGTTTGTACTATCAAAAACAAACATTTTTTGTTATTTAGACTATTGTTTCTAATTTTAAAACAATTTTTAAAATATTTAGTGATTATAATCACTAAATATTTTTAAAATTGTTTTAAAATTAGAATCTATAGATCGATTTTGTAGGGTTTTTTGACAGTTTTTTATAACATTGGAGTTTTGACAGTTCTAAATCTTGTTTGGACATAAATAAATTACTTTTAATGACAAATGCAATTTTAATAGTTTTTTATAAAATCTGTGTATTGTGTATATTTGGTAATTTTTAGTGTTCTGATTTTTATTAAAATAAGTGGACTTCTGAAATTAACATTAAAAGAGTAAAAAATCAGTAAATTTTTGAATTTTGTAAAGTTGTTAAAACGAATTTTTTAAAAACAATTTGAATAAATAGTAGGTAGATCACAAATTTAAAATTAACAATAAAGTCAAAAGTCAGCAAACATTTGGTTAAATGTTTTCAAATTTTTAGATAAAAAATTTAATTTAGTTGTTATATTTTCATTTTTGTAAGGTACCAAAAACAAAAGAGAATCTTAACGTAAAAATATTTAAATTTCAGTTAAACCATATTTTTGTTCTAAAATTTATAAAAATATCGAAAATAAAACAATATTACCTATGTATGTACTAATAAATTTTAATTTTTTAATTGTGATACCTACATACATAATAGAGCCATTCCACGCGTAACGGATAGGACAGTTGCCGTGTTTTTATTTACAAAATAATATTGTTCTATTATATTACCAATGTCAAATTTTTATAAATAGTTCTAAACAAAAGCTGTTTAACAAGGTTTTTATTTGGCAAAATTAGGTATCGTTATTGACTGTTTAATTCCTTAAAAATTAATAATTTAAAGCGTAACGGACGGGACTATTACAAAGTCCCGTCCGTTACGCTTTAAATTATTAGTTTTTAAGGAATTAAACAGTCAACCACGATTTTGGCAAAATTAGGTATCGTGGTTGACTGTTTAATTCCTTAAAAACTAATAATTTAAAGCGTAACGGACGGGACTTTGTAATAGTCCCGTCCGTTACGCTTTAAATTATTAATTTTTAAAAACAGCTTTTGTTTAGAACTATTTATAAAAATTTGACATTGGTAATATAATAGAACAATATTATTTTGTAAATAAAAACACGGCATCTGTCCTATCCGTTACGCGTGGAATGGCTCAATATTATGTATACTTCTTTGCTCTCCCAAATCAGAATTTGGCAACACTGTTATCGTAATTTTAAAATACTCTAAATATATTAGGATTATTTGTAACTATAAAACAAAAAATGATTTTTAATGTTCTTTTTTTAAATTTGTTTTAAGAAACAAATTTAATTTTACGTAAAAAACAATTTTTTTGATTTCTTACAAATTTTCTTAATTACAATAAAAATCCACTCGGTATATCGAACCCATTTGCATCAGCGTTCACACTGTATATCTGCGTCTCTTTGATGATGCCGCGACATTCTTATGAGCTTCCCACTTAAAGAGGAAACCTACCGTTGCTACCAAGTACTGACCCGTCAAAAACATGACAAGATTTCAACAATTGTTAGGTAGTAAACATTTAAGGTTTAAAGGAATGCAATCTATAACTCAGGCTTTACATTTAAAAATAAGATGATATTTATTATTTTAATAAAAATATGCCGTAAGAAGAAGTCATTTAAAAAAAAGTAATTTAACAAACTTTTCTTGTATATATGTACTTACTTTAACTTAAAAGGATCCAAGTTTTAAATCACAAAAAAGGCTTTAAATTATAACAAAATATCACTACTATATATACAATTTTTTTTAACTTGCCTGCATCTAAACAGAAAATCTTACATTTTTCATAAATATGCCCCTCGCGACTAAATCGCATCGGTGGTGCTTTGCTAAATTATCCCGGCACTCTAAAAACTTTTGTAAAGCGGTTGTTTTGTAGAGCCGACACACAGTCGGCTTGGCATTCATTTGTTCAGCGACCTTAAGGCCAGCTTTTCAGTTTACAAGCGTCCACAGTCACGAAAGGACGTAAGAAAACGCTCTCCATTTTAACACAGACGCGGTAAACAAAACACGCACGGAATGACATTTTAACCGACTGACAGCTGCCAAAGTTCGTTACCAGTATGAAGTTGGCGCGAGTACTCGTCGTTTTCGTTTGTTTTTTCGGTGCTGGGAGAGCTGTTCTGAGGTGCGAGAAGATCACCATTAAAATGTGCTCGAATTTAGGATACAACACGACTTTGATGCCCAATTTGATGGGTCATGAGTCCCAGAATGAAGCAAATCTAGAGGTAAGTTATTTTTGACGTTTTTGACAGTTCTGTTGCTATTTTTGACAGTTATTAAACGTGCAAATTAACCATTTTTGACAGAAACTAGATTTAAACGTTAATTAATTTAAAAACTAATTTTTAAGATGATTTTGAAGTCTTTTTGACAGTTTTTTTTTGACATTACAGTTTTTAAAGTTTTATACCTTGTTTTGACAGAAACATATGACTTTTAATCAGAAATGCAATTGTTTTATGTTAATTATTAATTAAATGTTACTAAATTAAAAACAATTCTTTGATATTTTTTGCTTATTTTAAACAATATTTATAACTTCAATAATATTTAACGTTAAAGTTTTCATTTAGGTAATATACGTTTTTTTATAATCTATAAAACAGATAACCTAAAAATACCTACGTTTAAAAGTGTTTTGACGTCTTTGACAGTTCTGTTGCAATTTTTGATTTATTAAACGATTTTTTAGTTAAAACCCTGCATTTTAACTGTTTTTGACATAAACTAGTGTTCTCTACTGTCAAAAACAACTTTATTATCCTTATTTAGACTGTTGTTACTGATCTGACAACAATTTAAATTGTATTTCAGGACTTTTTGACAGTTACAACAATGTTTGACAGTTTAAAACCTTGCCTCTAGATTTAAACGATTATTAAGTCAAAAACATTTATTTCAACAATTTTTGACACAAAAAAAATTGGTTTCTACTGTCAAAAAGAACTATTTTATTGTTATTTAGACGGTTATTTCCAATTTTAGAACTATTTAAAGAATATTTTGTGATTTTCTGACAGTATTATGACACAAATTAACTTTATATTAGATCAATTTCAAACAGTTTTTTATTACATTACAGTTTTGACAGTTTTAACTTGTTTTGACAGTAACAAATGACTTCTAATGACAAATGTTTTATGTTAATAATCGAATTTTACTAGATTAAAAGCAACTCTTATTTTAAACAATATTAAAATTTCAATAATTTTTAACGAAGTTTTCATGTAGGTAAAATACGTTTTTTATAATCTATGTGCCTACCTAATAGATAATCTTAACCTACCTACGTTTAAAGGTATTTTTGACGTTTTTGACAGTTCTGTTGCAATTTTTGAGTTATTAAACGATTTTTTAGTCAAAAACCTGCATTTTAACTGTATTTGACAAAAACAACTTTAATTAATATTCTTATTTAGACTATTATTTCTGATCTTACAACAATTTCAATTGTATTTGAGGACTTTTTGACAGTATTATTACAATTTTTGACAGTTTTAAAGCTTGCCACTAGATTTTAACAATTTTTGACAGAAAAAAATGGTTTCTACTGTCAAAAATAACGATTTTATTGTTATTTAGACGATTGTTCTAATATAAGAACAATTTAAGAATATTTTGTGATTTTTTGACAGTATTATGACACAAATTAACTTTATATTCGATCAATTTTGAACGGTTTTGACGTCTTTCTGACAGTTTTTTTATGACATTACAGTTTTGACAGTAACAAATGACTTATGACTTACACTTAATGACTATAGGTATATAGTATTATTTCTAATGTTACAACAATTTAAATTGTATTTTGGGACTTTTTGACAGTATTATTACAATTTTTGGCAGTTTGAAACCTTACCACTAGATTAAAACGATTATTAAGTTAAAAAAATTATTTCAACAATTTTTGACAGTTTTAAACATTGTTTTGGCAGAAATAAATTACTTTTAATGACAAATGCAGTTTAATAGTTTTTTTTATATAATCTATGGAACGTTTAATATTACAGATAACCTAAAAATATGTTTGATAGGGATTATATTCTTAAATATATATAGATATATCATATCAGCGGATTATACTTTATATTTTTTTAATAAAAATACAATACACTGATCGTAATATGAGAGGAGGAATATTGACGATGCAAAATAAAAAATAAAAATTTAGTTAATTAAAAATACTCAAATAACAAAACTTTTGTTGCATCTTGCCAACTCAGTAGGCTATGGCTACCAGCAACGACCATTGTAGGTCTTGGCACGCTGGGATTATAACGAATTATTGCCTTCCATCTCGCTTTTAACAATCGAAGTGCGCTGCAGCCTTCTTTTTTTATCGGATCTCACGCAGGGCACCCTCGATGATTACCGATGAAAATAAGAAACAAGCGAAGATACAAAACTTAACTTTTTCGTACGTTTTGTTTTATGGGGTGTGAAGCGGTGTTGGCGCAGTGGGGCACCTATTTTCGATTTTAGAGAGAAAAAAGTTGTGTTTAAACCAGGATGTTTTTATTTGCTTGGTTCACAGAATCTTATATTTAGTCTACCCATTAGGCACGTTTTTAATATTTTTATCTCTGATATTTTTATTTATGTACCTATTTATTTTTAATTTGATAGTAAATTCTTTTCTGATGCTTTTTCAATTTAAAAGTTTTTTCTTATTTTATTATTGCTAAATTGATTGGGTACTTTAAACGACAAAATCCGTTACACTTAACGTGACTAAAAAGTATGATTTTTTTATTTCCTCAAACTATTTTTCACAATATATCTCCTCTTCTTTTATAATTATAGAGCGTTACGTCATTAAGTTGCATTACCTAAATTTCTAGGAATTTATTCATAAAAAATCCGAACATAATGCCACCTTCAGAACCGAAACTAATAATTTTAAAAGAAGAGGCATTAGTGGTATAATAACATCCTTAAAGTCTAGGGCCGGACTAAGTACAATTTCAATATTTACAATTGACTCCTTCACTGATTTACCTCAAAGATACATACAGTTTTACAAATTGAAAAAAATGTTAAATTTATTTATTTATGTTTGCTCTATCTTCCTCAGATATCTAGATTAACATAAAAACGAAGAAGGCAGTTCTGTTGCGATTTTTGAGTTATTTAACGAATTTTGAGAGAAACTAATGATCTCTACTGTCAAAAACAACTGTATTATCCTTATTTAGACTATTATTTCTGATCTAATAACAATTTAAATTGTACTTCGGGACTTTTTGACGGTATTTTTACACTTTTTCACATCTTTAAAGCTTGCCATTAGATTTTAACGGTTATTAAGTTTAAAACATTAATTTTTGACAGAAAAAAATGGTTTGTACTGTCAAAAACAACAACAATTTTTTGTTAAATATCAAATAGACGATTGTTTATAATTTTACAACTATTTTAAAAAAATGTTGTGATTTTTTGGCAGGTAGTAGGTATTATGATTCATAATTTTTAACACAAATTAACTTTATATTATATCGATTTTTGACAGTTTTTTTATGACATTACAGTTTTGACAGTTTTAACAACAGTTTTGACAAAAATTATTACAATTTTTGACAGTTTTAAATCTTGCCCTAGATTCTAACGAAAACATTTATTTCAACAATTTTTGACAGAAAAAATGGTTTTTACTGTCAAAAACAACTATTTTTTGTTAAATAACAAATGGACGATTGTTTATAATTTTACAGTTTTTACGGTTTTAACTTGTTTTGACTAAAACATATGACTTAATTAAAAATGCAATTGTTTTATGTAAATAATCGAATGTTACTGGATTAAAAACAACTATTTGATGTTTAATGCTTATTTTAAACACTATTTATAATTCCAAAACGAAGTTTTCATGTAGGTAAAATAAGTTTTTTATAATCTATGTAACAGATAACCTAAAAATACCTACGTTTAAAGTGTTTTTTGACGTTTTTGACAGTTCCGTTGTAATTTTTGACAGTTATTAAACGAATTTTAAATTAAAATCGTGCATTTTAACTGTTTTTGGCAGAAGCTTACTTTTTACTGTCAAAAACAATTTTATTATCCTTATTTAGACCATTATTTCTAGTTTTGACAGTTTAAACCTTGCCATTAGATTATTAAGTTAAAAACATTTATTTCAACAATTTTTCAAACTCTGCAATTGATAATTTCACTGATTTACCTCAACGATATATACAGTTTTACAGATTGAAAAAATTGTTAAATTTACCTGGATACCTTAGATACGGTCCTGTTTGCTCCATCTTCCTCGGAATTACATAAAAACGAAGAAGGCTACGTTAATGTTGTTTTGATATTAGCTCCCATCTCTTTCTAGCACTTTCCCTATCTCTTTTGTTCTCATAATACTTTATGCAACGTTGTCAAGTCTCTGTTATATTCTAAGACAATATAAGAATAGGTTTCGAGCAAAAAACTATACATAAGTTTATTATTATTAGCAGATTCGTATATTTTTTTGTCGTAGGTATTATGTCTTATAGAAGTAGAAAAAATCTTCATTCAAAAATAGTATGCATCCGGCAACGTGGCTTCTCGAACGCGCTGCGAAGAAACAACGGCACATCATCGTCATGGCCTGAGTTGATGGCGATGATCGGCAGAGTTTCTTTGATGGTCTCAGATGGCCATGTCCCAATCCTATAATTACAAGTCGGCTACAAATGTCTCAACCGCTTTTTGTTTTTTGTTTTTTTTTTCGTTGTTTGGTTCGTCGCAGAGCACAGCACACTCGGAAAATGACGAGTTTATGTTTTTCGTCGAAATTCGTTCTTTAGTCGTCATTTCTGTAACGCTTGGTTAGGCTAAACTTGTTCCATTTCAATTTAGATTTAGTTCCAAGAAGGACCATAATTAGTGTGTACTAGGCTTAATTTGAAAATAATAGCTGCCTGAAGCGCGTTATTATTATTTTCTAAAGTTGGTACTATCTGCTGTAATTACAAATTATACTGTGGTTTCTGTAGTAACTTACTACTAGTCACCAAACCTAACTTATGATATTAAAAAACAACGTACTAAAGACTGAAAGGATAAAAAAGATTCAGACACATGTAGCATGTAACGTGGTAATGAAGGGCGCCTTCGGGCAAGTCTCACCTGTTTCTTGAGATAATAACAGGGCGGCATCTCCTACAACTGTCTTCTATACCGTGCGTTCCCCGCTTTAGGAGAAGCTCCTTTTACGTATGCCATCCTGATACAA